GAGGAATTTATTATTTCTATTTTAAACCATCATCAGCCAGTTGAGAAGTATTTGCTGTTGGTTATTTAGAAGGATGGCTTGGTGTGTCATCAAAAACATTTGTAAAACTTTATGTTATCAGTAATAGCAATAACCATCATATCTTGAACTCTTACTTGTGCCAAGCAGTGTTTTAAGAGTTTTATTTATCCATTGATGCAACAAATATTATTGAGAATGAAGCATGTGCTAAGTACCATTCTAGGCATATATCTGTAGAATATATTTGTGTTAGAAAACAAAGGACCCTGCTGCCACAGAGGTTACATTTTGGTGGTGGTACCAGACGATAAACAAGCCTAAACAATAAGCAAACTATATAATGTACTAGAAGGTAAGAAGTGCTATGAAAAAAATAACAGGTTTGATAGAACAACTAGGCAACTGATCAACAAGGAAGGAAAAGAACTGTATACACCAGCACTCTCTATATATAGAACACTTCATCCAACAATAGCAAAATATACTTTCTTTTTGAGTGCACATGGAACTGTCTCTAGAACACAAACATATGCTAGGCCAAAAAACAAACAAATGTAAAAGGATTGAAATAATTCAAATTATGCCTTCTGACCATAGTAAAATGGAATTAAAATTCAACAGCAGGAAAATAATTTGGAAACTCACAAACGTGGAAATTAAAGAACACTCTAAATAATAAGTAAATAAGAAATTAATAAATCAATAGGGAAATCAAAAAATACTTTGAAATGAATAAAAATGAAAAAAAAAAAAAATTTATGGGATACAGCTAAAGTAATGCTGAGAGAGAAGTTTATAGCCATAAATGCATATATTAAGAAGGATTTGCTCTGGCCAGTTTGGTTCAGCAGTTAGAGCGTCGGCCTGCGGTCCAGAGACCCAGGTTTGGTTCCCACTAAGGGCGCGTACCTCAGTTGTAGTTTGTCCCCGGCCCTGGTTGGGTCGTGCGGGTGGCAGCCACTCCATGTGTACCTTTCATGTCGATGTTTCTCTCTCTCTCCCTCTTCCTATCTACCCCACTACTCTGTTTGAAGAAAAAATGGGAAAAATGTCCTCGGGTGAGGATTAAGAAAAAGAAAGAAAGATTTCAAGCTTGGCTGGTGTGGCTCGGTGGGTTGAGCATTGTCCCATGGACTGAGAGGTCCCGGTTTGATTCCCAGTCATGGCACATGCCAAGGGTTGTGGGCTCAGTCTCCAGCAGGGAGCGTGCAGTAGGCAGCCAATGGATGTTTCTCTCTCATATCGGTGTTTCTCTCTCTCCTTTTCTCTCTCTCTAAAAAAAATTTTTAAAAATATGAAAAAAAGGAAAATATCTCAAATCAATAACCTAACCTATCTCGAGACACTATAAAAAGATGAGCAAATTAAACCTAAAGGAAGTAGATGAAATAATAAAGATTAGAGAGGAAATTAATGAAATGAAGTTAAATAAAGAAAAAAATCAATGAAACTAATAGTTTGTTCTTTAAAAAGAACATTTAGCTAGACTGACCAAGAAAAAGAGAAGACTCAAAGGAATACTGTGCACAATTATATGCCAATAAATTAGATAATTTACATGAATTAGATAATTTCTGGGAAGACATGAACTAGTGAAACTCACTTAAGAAAAATGAAGTAAAGAGATTGAATTTAGTAAACAACAAAACACCCAGAAAAAAAAGTCCAGGCCATGGTGGCTTTACCACTTAATTCTACCAAACATTTAAAGAAGAATAAATATCAATTTTTCACAATCTCATCCAAAAATTAGAAGAGGGAATGCTTCCCAGCTTATTCTGTGATGCCAGTATTAATTACCCTGATGTCAAAAGTAGATATCACAAGAAAGAACTGCAGACCAATCTCACTTACAAATATGGACACAGTCTTTAACAAAAAACTAGCAAACCAAATCCATCCACATATAAGAAGAATTGTACACCACGGCTAACTTGGATTTTACCCCAGCAATACATAGTTGGTTTAGCATTCAGGATTCAATTAATACACCATAATAGAACAACACCACCAAAAAAAAAAAAAAAAAAAGCATATGATCATCTCAGTAGATGTAGAAAATTTAGAAAAAGCATTTGACAAAATCCAGTACCTTTCACGGCAACACTCAACAGACTCAGGGTAGACTGGAACTTCCTCAACCTGATAAAGGGCATCTACAAAAATCCCACAACTAACACCATACTTAACGGTGAAAGATTGGATGATTTTCCCTAAGATGGGGAACAAGAGAAGGCTGCTTACTCTCATTCGTTCTATTCAACAGTGTAATAGAGCTTCTAGTCAGGGCAGTTAGGCAAGAAAAAGAAACAAAAGGCAACCAGATTAGGGAAGGAAGAAGTAAAACTATCTCTGTTTATAGATGACATAATCTAAGCTATTATAGCTAATAAATGGGTTCAGCTGGATTACAAGAGACAAGGTCATTATACAAAAACTAATTGTATTTTTATACACTTGCAATAAACAATCCAAAAATGAACTTAGGAAAACAATTTCATTTATAATAGTATCAAAAAGAATAAAGTACTTAGACAATGCAAAACATTGAAAGCTACAAAAGATTGTTTAAAAAAGATGATCAAATGGAAAAACATCCCAGGTTCATTGATCAGAAGACTTAATATTAAGATGAAAACACTCCCTCAAACTGAACTACAGATTCAACCCAATCCCTATTAGAATCCTAGCTTCTTTTGTAGATATTGACAAGTGATCCTAAAATTAATTTGGAATTGCGAGGGGTCAGAATATCCAGGACAATCTTATCAATTTCAAGTAAATATAAAAAAGAAAATAAGACAGTGTAGTGTGGTAGATAGACATACAGGTCAATGGGATAGAATTGAAGGTCCAGAAATAAATCTATACATCATTGGTCAACAGATTTCCCACAAGGATGCCAAGACTATTCAATGGAAAAAGAATAGTCTTCAAAAAACAGTGCTGGGACAACTGGATATCCACATTCCAAAGAATGAAACTGGGCCCTTATTTACCTTACACAGTATATAAAAATTAACTCAAAATGGATCAAAGACCTAAACATAAGAGCTGAATCTATAAACCTTTTAAAAGGAAACATAGGGGTTGATCTTAGTGACCTCAGATTTGGCAATGGATCCTTTGCTATGACATCAAAAAGTTAAACAACAAAAGATAAAATAGGTAATTGGATTGTATCAGAATTTAAAACGAGTGCTTCAAAGGACGTTAATAAGAAAGTGAAAAAAACATCCCACAGAATAAAAGAAAATACCAAATCACATATCTGATGAGGAACTTTCATCTAGAACATATAAAAAAACTGTTACAACTTAAGAAGGCAAACAATTAATTTAAAAATGAGCAAATTATTTGAATAGATGTTTTCCTACAGAAGGTATCCACATGGCCAGTAAGCACATGAAAAAAATGCTTGATGTCATTACTCGTCAAGAAAATGGAAATCAAAACCACAATGAGAGAGAGATACAAGATCACTATACAAAACTTCACATCCTTAAGATGGCTTTAATCAAAAAGACATAAGTATTAGTGGAATGTAAGTGTGTTAATGAGGATGTTAGTCTAATAGTTCCTCAAAAGGTTATAGCTACACTATGACCTAGCAGCTCCACTCCTAGGTATATGTCCAAAAGAAATGAACACACATATTTGCACAAAAGTTTGTATATGAATGTCCGTAACAGGATTGTTTATAATAGTCAAAACGTAGAAACAATTCAAATGTCCATCAACTGACAAATAAACAAAATGTAGTATAGCCATATAATGGAATATTATTCAGCCTTAAAAAGGAGTGAAACACTGAAACATGCTACAATATGGATGAGCCTTGCAAACATTGTACCAGGTGAAAAAATACAGATACAAAAGACCATATTGACTAATTTCATTTATATGTAATTTTCAGAATAGGAAAATGTAGAGAGAGTGAAAATTGATTAGTGATTGCTTAGGGATAGGGGGAATGCAGTTATAGGGAGGGGTGATAGCTAAAGGACATGGGATTTATTTTTGAGGTGATAAAAATGTTCCAAAATGATGATGGTTGCATATACCTATGAATATGAAAACCACTGAATTGTGTACTTTAGACCAGAGCTTAGCTTGCCTCTGGGAGGCAGAGCATGCGGCTGCAGGTGCTGGTAGGTGGGTAGGTGCAGCAGGGGCAGTTCATAGAGCTGCTGAACTTTTTTAAACCTCGCATCAAGCCTGTGAATTAGACACTATTACTGTTCCCATTTAAAGATGAGGAAGCAGAAATTATTTATGTGGTTGTCAGTTTCATATAGGAATATCAACCAAGTATAGAAATAACCTACTTTGGGAAGGTCATTGATCTTGACATTTCTGATTGGTGACCAAAAAAATCTCACTTCTGATTTCTCTATCTGAAAAAAACTAAGATATGATCTGAGGCTTCTCCCTGCACCAGAAAAAAAGTTTTTTTGGCAAATATTTTTCTATTTTTAAATCACTTTTTTCCTCCTAGAATGTCCTCAGAAAAGGCTAGACAGCTATCTAATGCTATCAGGCCAACCGTTATCCTCAAAGTGCTGCTCTTGCTGTGAAAATTAGTTTCTTAGGAGAGATAAATGCCCATGCCATCCTTTTCTTCACGACATTTGGGAATTGAAAGTAAAATCTTTTCTTTGTTACAGACTACAGCTACTCTGCTGTTATTAGTTGTGGTCTGTGTCTAGTCACTAAATCTCTAGTTTCTGCTGAGGGAGTCCTAGCCCTAATGGAGGCTCTGCCCAATACATTTCCAAGGAAACCTCTCTGGGTTTTATATAAAGCCTACATAAGAAGGCTGAGCACTGGTTAAATTAGTAACAATTCAAATGGCTTTCTTATGACCCAATTTGCATTTTCCACATGTGGGGGGAGGGTGTAATTATTTACAACACACACAGTATTGTTTTATGGAACATTGTGAATTTAAAATATATTTATATTAATATTGTCTATAGGTTCTTTCCAGTCTCAGAAAAAGAACTTATTCCACAAAATTGTCAGCAAATATAAGCACAAAAAGGAGAAGCCTAATGTTCCAGAAAAAGGTATTGGTGCCTTCCATCCTCCATTAAGGTTTCTCCGCCACCTCCATTGTGACTTCATCTTGAGCAATGCTTCAGCACACTAGCTTTGCCTTTTCCTCCCCTTTGCTTGCTTCACTGTCATCAGCTCCTGATTCAGGCACATTCGTTATTTCTAGATTCTGCAGCTAATTGCAAAGAGAGATCTCCTTCACTTGGATTTCTACTCAAATTCCACATTTTTGTCTATTTTCAGAGTTCCATATGAAACCTAAAATGCTTTTTCTCATCTGTATTTTGGTGCATTTTGTAATTTGGTTTTCTTGAGCTCTTATCCACTTCCTTTCTTTGACTATGTTCCTTTTTCTAATGCTGGGCAGCCTTCATACCAGGACCAACCACATTTTCCAACCTCCTGAAACCGCACCAGTTTCATAATCCTGTGCAAGTCCCACAGTTTCCCTACTTTCTCTGACACTTGAGGATTCTTGTCGAGGAGGCTTTTACTCCTAAGTCATAACCTCCTTTATTTTTCCCAACTCTATACTTCGTCGTTTGCCAGACTCTTCTTTCTACCTCCCTCAGTCACATAACATTTCCAGAGGGGACTGGAGACATTTTGCACTCTACCCTCCCTTCACTCTGAACCACTGTCTCATTGTTACCGTCTTGACGGGCCCTTGAACCTCTGCAGGGCTCATCCGAAGGGTTTTCCCTTCTCATAGTTCAGGAATCCCACTCTTCTTTCACACGAAAGATAAATCTCCCCATTTTGTTCAGTACAGCCACGTGTCCTGGGAGTCAGGCTTCCCTTGGCATCTCCCGCATGTTCGTGTCATGACTACCATGCCTACCAGGTGCTCATTTGCATCCTTCTTGCATGGCCAGATGTGAAGCCTTCCATGTTTCTAGGGTGAGGCTTCGAATGCAGCTGCCTCCCCTGTGTAGACATAATGTTCTGCGCGTTCCTGTATGTATCCTGTTCCTTCATTTGGGTTTTACTTTCACCTCCACTTCAGCCTCTTAGTTTTGTTTTGTATGTTAGTGTTTTTTCTCTGCTTCCAGTGGAGAAACATCACACTGCAGGTAAAATGTGAGCTTGTATCATTCCCTTTTAACTGATCTTTAGATTTTCCTGATTAAAGACATAGAATGTACCCAACAATGTATTTCATAAAAGGTAAATTTATTTATTTTTATTTAATCCGTTTCCTGTATAGCCTAATCATTTTAGTTGGGAAATGCAGCTTTGAGAATTAGTTGAAATAAAATTCTGCTTTATTTGTGTGATAATTATTTAAGTTATTTTGTATATTGTCTTATTTTTAGAGTATATATTTATGCTAGTAGAGTTTCACTTTCCTTTTCTGTCGTTGTTTTTAGGAAGTGGGGACAAATGGTCAAACAAGCAGTTCTTCTTGGATGCCATTCACCCTACAGAAGGTAAAAAAAAAATGCAGTATTGTATCATTTCAGGTCATCTGTGTAGGAAATGGCATGATTTTAATAGGTTTAAAAAAGTGTAATTTATATGGACAATGGGCTCAACCAATAGCATTAGACCTGAGTGTTCATAATTGGGTTGTTTTAAATTTTTTAAATCAAAACTGATATATTTTGACCCTGCTCAGGGTCAGACAACGTGTCATATGGAGTTTAATTTGTCAAAGGGGAATTTGACAAATTAATCAGATTTTTCATAACTAAAAATATTTAGCTTTGCAGGCTAAATTTGTTTGTGTTGCAGGCAGTGCTTATGGGAGTTAGAACAGGGCCGCCGTGGGGCTGTCCTGGAGGGTGATGTGGGCAGGCCTGCGGAAGTGGCTCCTGGCCTGAACTCATTTTTCTAGCCAACCTCTTAGTACCTGTAAATAAGCTTCAGTGGAATGCCTCTGAGCTCTATGTGTAGCCAAAACAAAAGCCCATATGAGACCGTATAATGTTCCAGGTCCTAAGTGTAGATTTTATTCCTGAATTTCTCACAGTCATATTTATTCGTGACATTATCTAATTTCTATTAAATATTAAACCCTCGGGTGAATGCTCATTTCTGTGATGGTTAAGGGGCCATCCTTCCCCTCTTCCCACTGATTCCCTTTTTCCATTGTAGATAATTTTAAAGAGCTGACCATTTTTTTTAGTGCTTAATTGGGAGTTGATTGATTTGAAAACTAGAAGGGATCTTAAAGGTCATCCAGTTCAACCTCTTTAATTTACTGATGGCCAGAAAGGGGAACTTAACGAGCAGCCCACATCCTTGGACTCTCAAATACATTCTCATTCCTTTACTAAAAAGGAGAAAAAAATTAAAATGCACATTTAGCCTAAATCATTTATCAAAAAAATACTCATATTTTAAAGCTATTTATCAAAAATACTCAAATTTGAGTTCACTGTAACCATGGAACTCCTGTGTTTGGTACAGTTCACATGAGCACGTGGCTGCTTTTACAGCATTTACTTCTACCAAAAGTGCCAGCCGCCTGTCTGGTCTTTGACCTGTTATTGCATATCACAACCTCCATGGAGTAAATTCTGCACTTAAACTGGCAGAACAAAATGTGAATTGTTGCGCTGCTCTCAGCATTAAATCCTGACACCCCCCCCCCAAATTGATATATATCAGCTCTTGTGTATTTTAAAAATGTATTCTACTCAGATTTGATAAGTGTACGGCACTGATGTGGGAAAGAGGCATTGAAGACTCCAGTACCTTTTCTAAATGATACTGCTCTAAATATTTTGTGTTTTAACCAATAAAAACCCTACCTCATATAAAATGGGTTATCATCGCACATGCATGTGGTAGAAAGAATGAATTAGGTAGGAATTAGGAGACCTGCGTGCTACTCTCGGATTTGCCACTAACGAGCTTTTTCCAGTAGGAAAGGTTGTTTGCCCTCACTAGGATTCACCGTCCGTGTTGGTACTGTGTGTGTGTGATGAGTGTGTTAGGGGTAGTGTGAATGATGAGGTGCGATAATACATGAACCATAAATTTCATTTCCCCTCTAACTAATACTTGATGATTTTACTACTGTGCTATCTTGAGTGGGTGGTATGAGGCTGAAAGTAGGTTAATTCGGAAGCCCTAACTTTCTGCCCTTTTGGGAATAGAAAAGTAAATCAATTTTGAGTCTCCCAGGCAGTCCCAAGGGTTTAGTTGGAAATAGAGTTACTATTGGTGATATTTAATTATACTCATTGATGTATATGGAACAAAACTTTGGAGAACATGCACTGAGAAGTGCATGTCCTGCCGTGTAGAGGGAGAAAGGAATCGGTTTGAACACTGGAAATGACCAGTAATGTACAGTGACCTTTCATGTTACTTATTTTTATACCGTCCCCTACATTTACTTGTTTGGATGGTAAACTGTGTACTTTGTGAATTATTCCAGCTCTTTACTTCATCCTTTCTCTCACCTATGGCCACATCACTGCTTATTAAAACTTTACTTTGAAGAGTGTAAAAATATAAGAAAATGAAATTTTAATCAGGATAATTGTAGCACTTGTAAGCCACTGTTGGCAAAGGTTAGACGGAAGTTGTTTGTAGCTGATGTCTGTAACAGAAATGTTGATTCATCTGAGGCTACACAGCTGTTAGCTGTTCCTGACACCTGTTAAAGTGAGGACTTGAAGTTCACTGTTTTCTTTATATCATCCTGAGTATAATTGGATTGCAATTTATATATTTTTCAAAATACCAGAAATCTTTAGGTGATTAGTAATCTCATCTGAGGTTTAAATGCCAAGCTTATAATCTGTTTTAAGCATTTCCCCCATGCTTTTAAAATTCAAAATCACTAAACCATTTCTTGAAACTTTTGCAGATCGTTAAAAAAAAAAAAAAAAAGATTGTCTATAGCCTAGAATTAAAGGTAAAATTTTCAGGTAAACCAGGACAACCTACCTCTGTCACTTCATTTATCTTCCCACCGAGTTATGGTGTCCTGCTCATGCTGAAGCTAGATAAAGCTTTCTAATTGTGATAAAAATGGCGATGATAATTAATATTACATTATCGTTTCCAGAGGACTTTTACATATATTTGTTTTGTGAAAATGAATCTTGACAGTAGCGTTGGTGAAGTAAGGAGGGCTTATTAACCTCAGGTACACATCAAGGAGTTGAAGCCAGACCAGCAGAAACAGGAAGGGAAGAAACCAGTAGTCTCTCCACTCGAGCACATTGGCTGCCACAGTTTCAGTTTTTCAGGCATCTCTGTAGATGGCCCTCTTTGGCTCAGATGTTGAAGTTATAAATGGTATCCTATAAGAAAAGAAAACCAAAAGCCTCACACTAGGATTCTCTGTACGATTAGTTTGTCTGCAGTACATCTAATTACGGGGTAGAGAATCTGGTTTATAGTTAGATTTTCAGACACGAGCCATAGCACTCAGACTGACTTGATCTGCCTTCTCAGTTCAAAATAGTTGCTGTATAACTTCAGCAAGGTCTCCCGGGATCTTAGATTAGGTTCATTCATTTGATTCTTTTTCCTGCGTTCCACTCAGCATCCGACTGCATTTTCAGCTCACGGGAGACCGGCCAAAGGCAATGAGATTCCGGATTTGGCTATAATAATTTCAGTGCAAGTTTGAGTCCCCTCGTTGGAATGTGAATTCATGACTCAGGAGCACTCTAGTGGTCCCCTGGGGTACAATACAAAAAACATACTCCACATTTTGGGAATAGAGTTTCGAAAGCAAGTCTGTTACTGCCACATCCCTAATGCTGCTCCAGGAGCGAGTGCACATTATCCCTTGCAGATGCCACACTGTGAGTGCGTTATGATGATCGTGGAGTGAAAAGCTAGCCCTGTGGACGTGTTTTGCAGTGCTTGGGTAGGTTTGTGTGTTCAATTACAAGCCGAGAGAGAAATGACTTAATTTGTTTTTAGACGACAAGCCTTTCTCTTCTCACATTTCCATCAGTTTGTCAGGGAGGTAAAAGGGAACTGGAATGCTGTCTGGATGCTCAGCTTCGGGCTCTCCCCGTCTCAGAGCGGAGCCTTCTCTGTGACCTGTCCCTTCCCTTACTGCCTGCCGAGTCTTTGTTTGCTAATGTTGCAGACTCAGACATCCTGTCCTGTCCAGGAAAACTTTGTTGACTTAGCCTTACCTGCCTTTCCCAAGTCTCCTGTCTTGGGGAGGTTCCACCTGAGTGCTGACCTTAGGGCTGTCATTGGTCTAGGCCACTAGACAAGACACAATGTTCCGGGGTTAACTCCTGGGCCATTCTTAACTCCTCTTCCAAACTCTAGCAACTTTTTTTTTTTATCCTCACCCGAGGACATTTTTCCATTTTTTACTCAGATAGAGCAGGAAGGAGAGAGAGGAAGAGAGAGAAACATCGATGTGAAAGGGACACATCGAGTGGCCGCCACCCACATGACCCAACCAGGGCCGGGGACAAACTGCAGCCAAGGTACATGCCCTTAGCAGGAACCGAACCCGGGTCTCTCTGGACCGCAGGCTGATGCTCTAACCGCTGAGCCAAACCGGCCAGGGCGCATTACACACTCTTTTCAAATGTAGACAGTCTGCAGAGCCCACAGTTACTTCCAGTTCTGACAGGAGGTTTAGAGAAGATGACATCGCCTCTTTTTGGGGGACTTATGAGAACTTGTAATATATTCTCTCTCTTAGTCTGCAGTCTGATTTCACCCCTTTACCGTCTCCCAGTGCACAACCCCTGGCACTTGATGATCGCTGGTACCTGTTAGCTGGCCTGCCTTTGACCCCTCGCTCCTTGTAGGCTGATTTCTGAGCTTCCCCTAGTCCCAGTGTGCCTGTAGGCTTGGACTGTACCTCCCGTTTGCAGTCCCCTTGCAGCCATCCCTTGGCTTTTTATTGTGTTTTTACCAATTCATCTGGAACACACAGGAAAAGGAGTAAGCATTGAATAGAAATGAAACTATTTGAAGGCTCACCAAAACCAAAAAAATCTAACAGTCCTACTCCAGGGAATGTTTTTTTTTTTTCCAATTACAGTTTATATTTAATATTATTTTGTGTTAGTTTCAGGTATACAGCATAGTGGTTAGACAATCATATACTTTATCAAGCGAAGGCTCTTTCCTAGCCTTGAGCCTCTGATCAGCACCCTGATTCTAGGCTGTGTGGCAAAACAAAAATAAGTTTAGAGCTGGGTGGCTCTTTTAGAGCCCGAGTCCAATCTCCCATCTTTACATGAAGAAACTGAGCCCCTCGGTTCCGCAGTTAGTGAAGTTAGAAGTCATGAGTAGAATCCAGGTCTCTCTCTGACAGTTTATTCCCATCCCCCACTATGTTTCTATAAAAACTAGGTCATCTTTCCCAACCCACTTGGCCCTTTGCTGGGTGTCCTTGCCTTCTCTTTGACCTCGTTGGTTCTTTGGTTCCTTTCTTCCTTTCCCTCTTTCTTTCAATAAACCATCTTCTAATGTAATGCACCCTTTCTCTTTGGAACTTGCTGTACCCTTATTTCCACCAGTTCTGGATTTTTCTGGGAGAAGAAGAGAGGAGGGGAGAGGTAAATGCTTTTTCTTGAAGGTGCATCTATAATGTAGTGATCACACTGGAGATGTAAGAGTCTCCCTGTAATCAAAGGGACAACAGATCGGTCTGGATGTGAAACTAGAAATTTTGAAGCTTATGGATATCTACTAGAGGTTATTTAATGCTCATCATGAACTCAGATTTGGGCTTCTTTAAGCCAGAGGAAGGAAGCTTTGAATTTCAAGGCAAATGCAGGGTCATGAAACATTGGAATGTTTCTAACCAAATTATCTTTCATTTTGCTTTTATGTAGCTTTTATTGAAGCTCAGACTAAAAAAAAAAATTAAATGTAAACCACCACTGGCCTATGTTACGCTAAATATCTAAGTATAAATATGCTAAGTCTATTTGACCTGGGGATAGAGCTACATCTTAATAGGAACCCTTTTTTCTGATTTTTGATTATTTGCTTGAAAAGGTGTTTGGGAACATTGCCAAATAGTGTGTGTCTGTGAGTGTATGTGTGTGTCTGTGAGTGTGTGTGTGTGTGTGTTTTAAATAATGATTATCTTAAGCCTGCCCCTACATAGCCATTTATTATACAATACTGAGGTAAAGCCAACCTCTAAATTATGTTACAATTTATGCTTTACATCCTTTTTTGTTGTTGTTGTTGATGTCATTGAAATTATTTCTCACTTGTTTTGAAATGGAAAGCCTGAAATATGCCTCTTGAGTGCAAAGATCTTACGAATTAAGGGCCCTCCTTTCTCAAGGATATGTCAAACTAAACCCCTTAGAGCAAAACTTTTGAATGAAGCCTATGCAGGTATTTATATGAACAGTGCATTATTTTATACCCTTATTCTCACTCTGTTCTTTTCCTGTCACAGCTATTTTTTCATATATATATATATATTCATTCTTGTTTCCTGTGTCTTCCTGTGTCTACCTCCACACCCTCCTCTAATAAGCACCTTCAGTTACCCTCCAGGTTTAGTTTGCACCGAGTTGGTCATGTCAGACCTTGATTTCCTGAGCCATACTCCCTGTTTTGTCAAAAACGATTTATGTGCCTGTTTTAAGAAATTGGATAGTTAAATGGAAAGATACATCTGCCCAAGAGACCTTCGGCCACTGGAATAACACAAAGTCCCAGTCATGAAACGTGACTAGGTGTATGTACTCCTAAATGCTTGCTGTACTCCTCTCTGCATGTCCTTATCTTACTTGGAAGTGAAGGGGAAAGGGGGCAGATGAGCTAAGGAAACAAGTATGTAGGAAAAGACACAAGCATTCTGAAACTGTCTGAACCGGGAGCAAGTCTTTGGTGGCCAAATGTGTTCCTTACTCTTGACTGGTATTTAGGTTACAAGCGTGTGCTATTAAATGATTGCCTGATAATCCAGTAAGAATTAGGGTACCTAAAGCTGAACTTTCCAAGGAGCCCGGCTGACATACAGTACTGCATTAAATTATCTCACTAAGCACTTTCACCTGATTCTGGATTGAGCCACTAGAAGAGAGTCTCATTATGTGCTGGCTCACCTGTTTGCCAGGTCCTTGCTGGGCCGTCAGTAAGGTCAGACCTCACGGCTTCTTTTTCTGATCAATCTAACTTGGTCATTGAGAACAGATGCCCCAGGGATAACTATAACTTTAAGAAGCACACAAATAATCTCAGTGCCCTCAGAAGAAAAGGAATGTATTATTCTCTTCAGACCAGCTGGCCAAAAGGATCTCAGGTAGAGCCCTGACCACATAAAGAAATTGTGGTCATGTGGGACGCAATTTACACAGACTTACACTCTCCTCTCCACCAACCCACAAGATCCAAACATTTGGTGTTACTTCAGTGGCCTCTTGGTGTGCAGTACTCTATTGAGAGAGAGAGAGAGCAATCCTCTGTACTTAACCTGTCAAAGCAAATACATATAAATATATTTGTTTAAAGTTTGTGGGCATTGTTTTATTTTTTTTCCCCATCAATACTTTGAAAACTCTGAGTGTAAGTTATCCATTCAGATGGGTCAGACATTTAGAAATGTTTCTTTCCAAGAGCAATGTTGGTGCCTTGTGTTTTTGTGTGTAACTATATATGGTTTGTCCTATTTCAGCCATATTTACAGAAGACAAAAACACCACAGAGCCTGCTCATAAGGTTAAAAATGCCCCATCCATTCCCAACACTCCAGAGCCAACAGCAACGCAAGAACCCCTGGTGGGCAGCCAAAAGAGAAAAGCAAGGAAAACCAAGATCACACACCTGGTCAGGACAGCAGATGGCCGGGTGTCACCAGCAGGAGGTATTTTGGGTAAGAAGAGGGAGCATTAGACGCAGAAAACCAGACCAAGCAGCTGACCCTCATGGCCACTTTGGCCAGCAAATGACTCTATGCCCACTGCGGGCCCTCACTGAAAAATAGGTCTATTCTGTGGGTTTGGTCACAGTGACATTTTCCCTTTCTGGATTGCCTTGAGAACTAGTTTTCTACAGATTCCCAAAAGTACATGTTTTAGTCCATGCTTTAAAATCATAGCTCTTTTTCTAAGAATATATCTTGAATTCCTAGAAAGGAAAGGTAATTTTTAGTACTGTCAGCTTCTCCTTCCCTTTCTCAGCGTGCACAAAAACAGTCTCGGTTAAGTAAATTCCCAAAGATCCTAGGCTTTTAAAAATACTGGATGAATCAGTGTTTCTCTGTGGTTCGCTGCTCAAGTCACGTCAAGCCAGATGATCAGGTGTTTAAACCAGTGAATTAAGGCACCTTAGGAAGCATCCAGCACTTCTGAAAGCTGACTCAAACCACCAAGGGAGTTTGAGAATGCTTCTGGATTTCTCTAGTTCTCTGGACTAATCTTTAACCAACTCTTAATTTACAGTGAATTTTTCCATTTTCAGTTGGGGTCTGTGGTTCATTTGTTGTTCCTGGTGGTCTCCATGGCAGCAGAATTGCCTGATGGGCCCAAGTTAAGGAGTGGGGTCAGAAAGTGACACTGAGCATCCTCCCTCTGATCTTGGGGGTGCTGTGCCAGCTCAGCATTAGTGGTCTGCGCTGTGCCTTTCTGCCATTGAGCACCTCTAGCATCTCATTCTGTCAGCTCTGAAAGAAGTGTTTCCCCTCCCCCACAATCCAGATATCTGATTTAGGTTAATCTAGTTGTTAATAGAGATTCATTGTTTGCTGAGCTAGAATTAGAGGACAGTTAATGAATTTTGTATACAGTCATCTCTCGTTTATCGCGGTTAATCCGTTCCAGACTCTAGCAGTTGGTTGCACCCGGTGTTGAAGGATTCCTGGGGTGCTCGAATACATAGGCCTACAGTCCATTCGTACAGTAATTTTAATTGTAATATAGGGGTGTATAATTGACTCAGACAACCGAGTGCACACGGTATCATTTTCACTGTCTCAATCCACTTTTTAATGAATATATTTGAAAAAACCGCGATAGAGTGAAACCGCGAAAGTCCAAGGGCGAAGTGGCAGGGACGACTGTACTTGTCTTGTTAGAACCGTACAGCATGTTAAAGGTCCCCAGTTTTACCCTGTCCTGTGAGGTGAAGCTCCAAGGGGTACCACTTTGTTCTGAATGCTTTGAACTATGAGGCAGAAGTATGATGAGGACTAGAATCTAGTTTTCCTGATACTGAGTCCAGCAGGCCCCTCCCTTATTTTCCTTCCACTGTGGGTTCTGCTCTGTGATTTTCACTTTGTAAATGATTATAGCCATTTTTACTTGTAGGAAGAGTGAAAGATTTCAGAAAATACTCTCATGTATAAAAGCACATAGCACCTTCATGTTCATTTAATATATGGCTTTTGCTGCCTTTATCAATAACTTTCTGTAGTTGACATGTTTTACAAACCAAGATAAAACCTGCCCCTATATAATGGCTACATAATAAAGACAGCACACTCGTCTCCAGCAGGCGTAGTGGTTCTTTATATTCCTTTCAGTAGGTCTTCAGAACAAAACTGACAACTTGGGATCTCTTTGGGATTTAAATCTCTTTGGGGTTAGTGTTGGCTTCACAGCTCACCGAGTGTCCAGGTCGCCGTGATAGGTGGGCATGCTGCGGCTTCATCAGAGATGTTGGCTCAGTTGGATTTTTTGTTGTTTTTTTCATCTTCACCCAAGGATATTTCTCCATTGATTTTCAGATAGAGTGAAAGGGAGGTAGGGAGGGGGAGAGAAACATAGATGTGAGAGAGACATATCGATTAGTTGCCTCCCTCACGGCCCCAGCCGGGGCCAGGGATCGGATCTGCAACCCAAGTACGTGCCCTTGACCGAATTGAACCTGAGACCTTTCGGTCAGCGGGTGGATGTTTTAACCACTGAGAAAAACCAGTTTTTAAGGGCCCTGTACAGCATCCACAGGCCCCTCTGCAGAAGTTCCTTGGGGGTTTATTTTGGCCAAAGCCCATTTTTCCTTCTTCGAGACTGACCTATTCTTTGACCTTGAATAAAATACAGCTTCTCTGCTCTTCTTCAGGGCACAGCGCTGCCCCTGGTTGCAGATGAACTTAATAAAAGAGTTTTGTGACTAGAAGAAGAGAGTCTATAAAAGCCTTAATATTCGATGGATGACAAGAGTGGACAATAAAAAATGTTAACATTTCACATTGTCTGGCACAGAGTTTCCTGTGTCTTTTCTCTGGAGAGAACCAGAGGGGCCCTCTTGTGATGGATTTCCCTTTTGTTACAGATGACAAACCAAAGGAGCAGCTGCAGAGGGGTCTCCCGAAAGGAGCCGAGACAGGCTGCAGTGATGAGTGCGCACATGGCAGCGAGGCCGCCGAGATGTGGAGCAGCCCTCCCGAGATGGGGTCCGTGTCGGCGTTCTTCAGTCTGGCCGCGCTGGCCGAAGTGGCTGCCATGGAGAATGTGCACAGGTCAGTGGGAAAGCCTTGTTCCACAGGGCCCTGGGGCTTGGTTCAACGTCACCCCTTCCACAGAGCGTGGGTGGGGGGAGCAGTGTGTCAGCCTTTCTGACACCATGCGTGATATTGCTCACGATGCATTGGGGTTTGTAAGACCTGGCTCAAGGGCACCTCTGCTTATGTGAGGTCATGACAGTATATGTGCTAATTAATTAGCAGTATGGGAAAATGTAAGAGAATATAGCCAGGCAAGTATTTTACTTTGAATCTAGTATTCTGAAAAAAATAAATAAAATAAATGAATCTAGTATTCTGTGGCTCAACTCCTATTTCTGTAGAAAGCCCGAGAGAACAGAGAAACAGCGTTATCTGATCATCAAGCATGAGGTTTGGAGTTAGGCCTCAACAGCTGGGTGCGTGTCTGAGCTCTTTCGCCTGCAAATTACAATGTCTTGAGCAAGATCAATCACCTCTGTACCTTCCGTAGTGTCTCCTACAAAATGGGTATAACTGGTTCTCGTTTCATAACATGTCAGTGGGATAAATCTCATGTCCCAGTGCTAGCAGGCAGTAAACACCCCCACTGAGCATGGTCGCGGTGGCAGTGGTGGTCCCAAGCAGAAGAAAACAGTGTTGGTTCAGGAAAAAGAGCATCTTGGCCTCTGATGTGTGGCAGGCAGGTCTGGATTTATCTTCCACTCTCTGTGTTTGCTACAAAGTATTTACTTCTCTGGGCCTCAGTGTTCTCATCCTACATTGAGCACAACGCTATCCCCAAAGAATCACGTGGTTGTACAGATCCGCCGAGATCAGATATGTGAAGACCTTTTGAACTCGGTAAAGCCCCACAGAAAGCATATTATGTTCCAAGTGCATAACTGAGTGTTCTGCTACTAGTGGATCTTTTGGGAAGGCAAAAAGGCCTTTTGTAAATTCAGGTATTTTATATTGTTATTCAGTGGATTACCCACAGATGAGCTACTATCTTACCTTTCGATCTTCAGTGCAAAGAGCTTGGAATCAAGGACAACCTGTTAGGCTCCATTCTCCTTATTCACATCCAGGTTTAGGAGGCCCACACTTGAGCTTTGTTTGCTTCTTGCTCTTTACCTGTCACCCTACAGTTCTAGTCCTGCCTCACAAAGAGCCTCTAGATATTTCCAACACGGCCAATTTCTTCTCAGGTTGCACTGCCGGGCCCTGACAACACGTGGATGCTGACGGGCATTGTTAAATCCACTCAGGTCTCTGAGGGACGGCAACGCACAGACACAGCTCCACTCGTGGAGTTTCATAGTCGGGTACAAAGGACAAACGCCTACACATACAAAAAGAATTAAATGTATGCCTCAGTGTTACTAAGAGCCCCAAAAAGTGTGGGAATAAGAGGTAATAGAAGAATTCAGGGCTCAGAAAAGGCTGGCACACAGTCCCCCTTGCTGTTGACAGCACTCCCTCTGAACGTGCCTGGGGCCCCACTGCTCTGTCAGCCAGCCTGTCCTGACTTCTGGTCTCCAGGAGCAGAGCTCCTCAGCAAACACGGCGCTCGTCACAGCCCGCCCAGCCCTGCAGTCAGGTGGAATTGCTTGCTCCTGTCCGGATGAGCCCAGTTCTTTCTTGCCTCTGTTCCTCCTCCTCTCAGGCTCCAACCCTCGTTCTTTGTCCTCTTCCCTCAGTCCTCCCTAAGCCTGCACGCTCTGTACAGAGCTCTCCTAGACCAGCCGCCACGACAGTTTGTAGCTGTCTGTCCATACTTCTGTCTCCTTCCAGTGTATTTGAAAACAAAGCACTGGTTTTATTCTCCATGTCCCCCGCTTCCTTAGTTCCTGTCCCGTCAGTGGATGAGTGGGTGAGTGAGTGAAGGAGGTGTTCTAAAGTATGACTGCCTAAGTTAGCTAGTAGGCCAGAAAAAGTGGTGTAAGTAAAGGTTTTTTTTAACCTCCCATTATAAAGAACAGTATTGCTTACTAGAATTTTACTATCAACTTAACAAATGGTTAGTGTTCCTAAAATCTAGAAAGATAGCTTCCCCCCAGGGACTCTCAGTTGTAACGTTAGCTCCTACCTGTGAAACCTGGCTGCCCTCTGCTTATAGACTTAACATAATTGTACCTGGTTGCACATCAATTCATTACTGCTTAGGCATTTAGAGGGTGGTTAACAGAGTTAGGGGTAGAAATATATTACCTGCATTCTTGCCACAAGAAATCTTAACATTAGGGTAAAAAAACCAACACAGAAAGGCAGTTCTACAAAGCACAGGGAACAGGAAGTTTAATAAACCTTTTGTCGAGAGCCTGTTTATTTACAAGGAGTTTTATAAGGAGGAAAGTTCATTAAACTTAATCCTAGAATCAACCCTACCAGCTGGGTATTTTTAGTCCCATTTTAATGTTGCCAAATGATTAATTAACTTGTCAGGAGCACACAGCCAAACTGAGTGAAGATTTGAACCCTAGTCCTTGAACTCCAGCATCCGGGCCTTTGCTTCAGGGTGCTGGAAGGTCAAGGAGGCTCTCCCGAACCTTCCCTTGGGAACGAACCATCAGGAGACTGCAGCCACACTGTTCTCTCCCATCATGCTCCTGTCTTCTCTTTCCTTGGGAAGCTGGGCTTTCACCACATTTCTCCCCCTCTGCACTCTTTGTTTTGCATTGTCCTTTTTCTTTTTTACTTTTAATATTTCTTTCTTTCTGTTTCCCTTTCTCTTATGTATTAAAATTCTTTTGGTTTTAGAATATTATTATACACTCAATCTTAAAGATAAAAAAGGTCATTTTCAGTCCATCTTTCTTGAACAGAGTTGAACACATTGAACAGTTGGTGCTTTCAGCATCCCCACGTGAACACCCAGATCAATCCATTTGATTGTAACACGTTTTATTTTTCTGAAATCCTGGTATCTTAGGCTAAGTGATCATTGGATTCTGACAGCCCCAAATTTTGTCATTTATCTACATTATTTTTCTTTTCTGTGCATCAAGAGAAATGAATTGGATATAATTAAGGAACATATAATTTGAATTTTAAAATAGCACCTTTTGTTCTATGTAATCTGAAGAAAATACTTTATTGAAACCTCCAGACCAGTAAAAACCTGCTGCTACCTCGGGTGCTCTCAGCACAGGGCTGTGCCGCACACCGCTGTGGCCAGAGCCTCGGGTATGCAGCATGGGGGTGCGGTGGGCCTGCTGGGAAATCTCAAGGAGGTGCCCGGGCCTCTCTCTAGAATAAGAAGCTCTGTAGAAATTACCAAGAGTTTTGAACAGTTTTGTTTTAACTATGCAGTAAATCGTATTTTGTCCTCATTAAACAAAGGCTGAATGAAAAAAGAAAAAGCAGCTATGTTCGGTGTAGTTTCAATTCAGGTGATGGGAATTTCCATGAATTTTCTAGTCTTGCCTAGAATTCTCTTTCCATATGTGTTGATTTGGGCCCAAATGAACTGGATTTTCTCACACTCTGAAATGTAGTCGGTACTTGCCTTTTTCCCCTGTACACTCTCTGTTATATGCCTGTGAAACTTTTCTCAAGTTAGGGAGGGTTTCAGTGTTTGCAGTTATTTTTTGAGTCATGGTACACCTCTTTCTCTTCAGAGACCATTGCTTTTATTGGCCTTAAGTTTTAAATTAGGTTTGTTATTCAGCCCAAGTGTCCATCAGTAGATGAGTGGATAAAAAAGCCGTGGTACATATACACAATGGAATACTATGCAGCTGTAAGAAAGAAGGATCTCGTATCCTTTGAGACGACATGGAGGGACCTGAAGAGGATTATGCTAAGTGAAATAAGCCAATCAAAAAAGGCAAAGATTCCATTTATTTGTGGAATATAATGAACAAAACAAGCTGATGAACAAAATAGACCCAGAGACATAGAAGTAGGGTTCAGACTGACAAACCTCAGAAGAGGGAGGGGGGCGGGGTAGAGGGAACAGATAAACCAAAGAACTTACATGTATATTTGCACAACCAATGGACATTGACAATACTGTGGAGAGGCGGCGGGATCGGGAGGAGGATGTCAATGGGGGGGGGGGGGGGAGGAGAAACATCTGTAACAAAAATAAATTTATTTTAAAAATAAATAAATAAATTGGGTTAGTTATTATACAACTTAAGAAAAGAACCTGGAGGTTATCAACTAGTATAGGAACCACAGCCCTTGACTTAAAGTTCCCAATTCTTAGGGAATTTCCCAAATCTGCTGTTGCTTCAGATTCTGTAAAATGAAAGTGGTCAGTTGGATACATAATATGTTGTTGAGTTGTGTGAGGAGACTTGAGGTGAGAAATTCTTTAAAAAAAAATACAAAAAGAAAGAAATTCTAAGGACAAAATTGGTTTTAATTAAACAGCTTAAGTAAAAGTCAGCAGTAGCTATTAAACAAATTATTGGAAAACTATATGTCATTCATCATCCCCTCCTATTTCTGATAACATACTCTGAATAAGTGATTTTTTTCTTTCTCCTGTTTCACAGAGGTCAGAGGTCAACTCCGCTCACCCACGATGGACAGCCAAAAGAAATGCCACAGGCTCCTGTACTTATTTCCTGCGCTGACCAGTGAAACGCCCTTTCATTGTAAAACATTGTGCTTTACCTACTACCCCAGCCTTGTCTTTACCGAGGGATGCTAGCAAGTCAATGTTGTGGGAATAGACTGCAAACAAGTGTGTGTTGCCCTACACAGCCCAGATTCACTTGAAGCAGAAGTTAGCCTCATGGGCCCATTTGTTCATTCAGAGCCCAGAGTCTTTGAGGGCGATGTTATCTGTCTGATAATGAGCAGGAATGGTCTTGGAGCTTTGCTTTCTATTGAAGGCTGTTGACGGTATTGGTGGTGACTTGGTAAAAGGCTGCCTTTACTGTAGCTCATCCAGCATCTCTTTTACCAACCAGAGAGTGTGAAACTAGTTTCATATATTACCTAGTTATTCTTTCAAAACAAAAACAAAAAGACAAACAAAAAAACAAAAACTGACGCACTGCACTAGTTATTATTAGATATTCTTAGTCTTTTTTGTACATGGAGATTTAAGTTCTAAGATGGTTTATATAATAGGTTATACCTACATTTATATTGTAGAATAATATTAAAAAGCCTGTTCTGAGACTCCCATGCAGCACGGGCAGGCAAATGTACCATTGTTAGCGGTGTGTGCTCGGCCTTGTGGTCCATGTATTCTGCACTTTTATATTTGCCACCAGAGCGATAGTTTGCTGGCAAAAAAGAGAAAAAAAAAATTACAATTCTTACAAGCTGAATTTTTTTCTTAGCCTTGAGTGACCAAGAATAATTTGCTTGGGGCAAATTGTGGCAAATATTTTCCCAGACAGGGGAAGAGTCCTGCAGATTACAGATTACTGATGTTTTCATGCCTTGAGGATTCTTTTATTTTTACACGGGGGTCTAAGTGACCAATGGATTGTTCATACAAACAAACAAACAAACAAAAAAAGAGAAAAATATTATTCAGAAGTGACCTTAGTATGACTTCACTATTCTGAACACATTGAAGACACTCACTTCATGTGGACGTTGAACACAGACCTTTTCCATCCATCCCAGACAGACTGGACGGGTAGCCATTGCTATGCACAGCCTAATGGGCACTGCAGGTTTTTAGAGCCATTTCGAGTTTGTGTTGTTACGGAGGTATGAGTAAATGATAAGGGAGGTATGCCTGACCAGAGTGGGATCACAGTCACAGATCCACCTGCAAGTTTCTGTTTCCATTTTGTGTTTTGTTGCTTTTGAACATAAAACCCACCATACATATGCCAGTGCCAAGTGGATTAACTGGCTCAGAACATTCAACATATTGACTTAACCACCTGACGTTCACAGTGTCCTGTTTCCTAGCAACAGATGCAAAGTGATAAATCAAAATTAGTCAGAGGCTACAGATTTTACAGGGTATTTCTTCCACAGCACAAAGTATCTTCCCACTCCCGCATCGCAGCACAAACTACCAAATTTCAATTATTGGATTCCAGCAATAATTTTTATTGGTTTTCAAACTGGCAGGATTTTGATAGTGTTAGTTCAGGTTTGAAGCTTTTGAATTAGGTCTCTAACTGGTGACAGTTTACAGGTTTTATCTAGCTTTCTTATTTATACTTGACTGAATTGTAATGATGATTTTTTTCTAATCGTAATTTGACCTAATAGCCATATAAAAAATGACTCTATTAGTCCTGACTAAGTTTAGCTTTTCTTGGTTGTAGATATTACTTCAGTTTTGGTGCTGGAAAATATGTACAACATACTAACAGAATTGAGGAGTACAGAGAGGGTTTTTCAGAGCAGGTAAAGAGGGCAGCAGACCACTGGTGTGGTATTCTCAATGATGTGTACTCATTGTGTGTACAGAGGAAGGAATTAGTAAGCAAGGTTAATCAGAGGTTAGCGCTTGACCCCAGTCACATAGAAATAAATCAGGTGAGCAGCCCCAGATTTCAGCAATGTTTTTACTATGATGCTGTTTTATTAATATTTTCTAAGTCTCAAAATACAAATTGAATGTTTGGAAATTGCTGGGTCCCGGTGTTGGTGGCTGTTGGGAGTTTTTTGGACCACTTACTGGCAGTGATTTTAAAATTGTTATTAGCTAAAATCCAAAAAACAAACAAAAAACCACAAACCAACAACAAAAATTGTATGGTGCAGAACATGCACCTTGACAATGGTACTAACTTGTTATCCTAGAGAACACGTTAGGATAGGTCTATTTTTGCCAGAGCGCCCTCTTCAGTCCTCTGACTACATTTCACTAGAGTTCCTCAAGAGATTGCTGTATATTCATGGGACCTTTTTTTAAAAAGAAGCAAAACAAAAGATTGCTTTTTTCTATGTGATTACTATCTTACTTGATCTGCTTTTCCTAAACCTCAGTGGCTTTTCCCTTAGGCAGGGTGGGGGTGGGAGGGCAACCTACTGGATATGACTGTTTTCAGATACTTAAAAAAAAATCTTTTTGTAGAAATGCTTAAATTTTAAGCGGTTAGGCACAGAGAGTAGCAGAAATCCTGCAAAGCTTTAGTCCTTTAGACACTCGCCTTTGTCGTGTCTCTGAGTGGAAGTCTTGATTTCAATAATAGTGCTTTTTTCATGCCCTGAATCCACTGGAAAGGGGTGTTGGTATTTTCAGGTAACAACATTTGTTAGCACAAATATTTCAAGCCAACGTGTAGTTCCCCCTCATCTATCATTTTCACTTCTCTCATTCTTTATTTTGGAGAATCATATCGCTGTAGCATGTACCTTAATCTGCCAGCAAACACCATCCACACTAACATTTGTTCCACAAGCATCCTCAAGAGAAAAGTTGTTGCACCTTATGTATATCTCAGCAAACCAAAATACGATGCTCTTCTCTGTTTTATTCTAAATTGTTGTATCATATCTTTCTGAAATCATTCTGAATTTAGTTGAAATGATCAATATTTATACTTTAAACCTTAATTCCTGGATTCAAACCTGTATATAAATCTTTTGAAAAAAATTGTCCTAGCCCTTCTCTGTGATGCTGGAAGTGGATAATTTAGTCTCTGGTGGAGACACAGTACTGTTCCAGTTTCCTTTAGCCTTTTATTTATTTAGTTATTCTGGGTGTTTCCTATGTAATTTTGAAGTGTGTAGAGTATATTATAGTAACTGAAGCTTCGGCTCTCAGAAGCTGAGTGAAAGAAAAAATACTGTAAGGCCCCCCCCCCTTTTAAGTTTTTATTTGTTTGGATACTGTAGTGAGATCAGGAAAAGGAAAACCGCCCCACCGCCACATTGACGATACAGGTTCCTGTCCCCAAAGTAGCTTAGTTCCCAGACGTTGAGATCAAAAGTGTCAATTCATTAAAACCCCTTTTAAAGGATAACATACTGTTGTAATTCTGACAGACTTATATCAGCAATATATTTATTTACTTCTGTCAGAGGAGCTTTCTACCAATGCCATCTCAGAGCCGACATGCTGACGTCATTCCCACGTCATCACTGGTATTCTAGTTCCTGCCATTAAACTGCTGGAGGGAGAAAGACGGAACACCACGAACAAGGAGCATCTGGACCGGCTGGCTGTTCAGAGTCCCAGCCGTCCAGGCCTGTCATTCTCTCACTAAGTCAGAGGCTGCCCTGCCTGTCGTATAAAATGTTGTTTGCACTGTGCAGCCTTTGGCTCATCGTATGACAGTGTTTGCACCTATGTAAAAGCTCAAGCAAGTTATTAGTTGATACAGAACCAGGAGGAAGCAGAAAGCTGAATGACATCTTTTGTTTATACAGTATGTGTGGGGGAGGGGCGGGAGGGGCAATCTCCAATAGCTCTGTTCCAAGTTTGGCATTTGGCATTAATGTGAAGCAGTGGGACCATGCTGCCTGCTAAACTACTGTATGAATCCTAAGTGTTCTGAGACCAGCAGCTGGAGGCGGGAGGCCGGCACCCATACACGGGAGCAGCGCCACCTCTGCACTGGGAGAAGGAAGGAAGACAGCGAGGCCCCAGTCCTTTGGAAAGGGAGCGTGGTGGTGTATGTGATGCTGGGGAAGAGATTCTCCTTTGATTGCACTGCTCCACAGAGCCCTCAGATAAGGCCAATTCTAATGGGCTACCTCGGCTTTAAAAGTTCATTTCAGTTAAGTCCTGTTTCAAAGGTTTGTCTTGTTTTGCTTCTACCTTCAGTGCCACTATTTTCCACTGCAGTGTTCTGACTTCACAAACCGCCTTCTCCAGAGAGAACAATGTATTGCTGAACGCGGGCAGTAGAAGCAAATGCTATTATGACCTTTGACCTATAAAGTATTCAGAGTGACTGCTAGGTGGAAATTAAACTTTAGCTTTCCCCACATAGGACCGTGTTTTGCACCTTATGAAGAGTGTACTAATTGTTAATTAGATGTCGCTTTTATTTATACAAGCATTCCCAAAGAATTAGACTTGGAGTTTGTTTTTGAGCATCAGGATTCTTAAAAAGTATCTTACTTAGATTCACTAACATTATACTTAAAATGAAAAAGAAACCGTTTGTTCAGTTCCTCTCACCAGGTTTGTCTGGTGAAGGATTCAGGGTTTGATGGACTGCTTTACTTTAGTTTGGAAGTGATAGCTGAGTTTATTATGCTTCATAATAAATGACCTTGTCCTTTCCACTGGGGACATTATCTTCCTCACATTTCAGAACAAAGAAGCAACAAAAGAGTAAATCAAGAGAAATACCTGATTCTGTCATACACCTCCATCTGTTGTGCTATGCTTTTCTTTAAAAAATGTACATATTCTTTTTTTTTTTTAAGTTTCCTCTCTCAGCCAAATTTTGTGTGGTGGTATGATTTATACTAATAAATTAAAAGAGGAAACCTGTACTTAAATGTTCTGCGGCCACTGTTTTCTTGTTGCAGCCAGTGGTCAAAATTGATCCTGCCCTCAAATTGATTTTTATGCACAGAGCTAGTTGTAAACATTAACGACTACTTCCAAAGATTTCCTCATAACTTAGGTCAGAACTGGGTACCGAGTAACAAGAACCTAATTCAATGCCTCCAAACTCCCTCCCACACCGCAAATCTTACCTCACAAGCTCTAAATCACAGAGGCAGCCTTGCTTCACAAACTAACACAGCTCTTTGTGGCCCCCAGAGGGCTGGCTCCCGTCCCCCACACCTCAGGGCCTGGGCTCTGAGTGGCAGGACTGGGGGTGGGGAAGGTTCATGATCTGGAGCTCAGCACACGCTCAGCAACATTCTTCTCATTTCATTAGCACTAAACAAGTCTCTTGCTCTCAGGAATTTATCAATAAAGGAATAAAAACCACCTGAGATACCGCACACCAGATTATGAACTTTTCTCATAGGTTTGAATTGCTTACTTGTCATCAATTAACCACAGCTTCATTTGACCACCAGATCTTATGTCTGTTGACAGTTTCAGCATGACCGAATCGCTCATTTTCTTTTT